AGCAGTGTGTGTCCTAGTTAGGGTAAGAAACCACTGATATCTGCTTTAAAAATCAAAACAAGATTCTACGTTACATTAGTTTAACTTGTCCTCCCAATGGACAGTGGGATATCCCTCCATCAGCAGACAGACTCACCTCCTGTTGCAGCTTGTCCACAGCTCTGGTGATGTGTTGATAATTCTCCTTCTGATATTTGTTGATCATGGTTTCCCTCAGGTTCTGCTTCAGCTCTTCATTCAGCTGTTCACACACAAACACAGACACATGTAGGCCAGTCTGCTACACTACAGTGAATCTCTATCTAGCAGGGGCGCAGTTATTAATGACAGATTAGTTATGACTGCGGACTTCGCAGCTGACATTATTCATAACGCGCGTAAAGACTCTCATACAGGTTGATGCTCTAACATCAGTGGGTAAGACAAGGACAAAACCAGGGCAAAGAATTTTCTTGCCCTAGACCAGTGGCAGACAACGGGAGGAGCTGAAGGTATGGGGGGCTCAGTTTCTATGGCAACAAGCCAGCTGGAGAAAAAACACTGTAAATCAAAGTGTGAAGGAGATATTGTGGGAATGAATTATATAAAAAAAAAAGATGGAGGATAAAGTGGCAGAGATGAGCTGGGAGAAGGAGGAGATATGGAAACTGATTTTAAAAAGACAGGATAGAGTTCTGCCTTATAAAATGTTACCTGTTGACAGTCAGCAGCCGTGAGGCGACACCAGTGATTCAAGGTTTAAAATGGCTCAATATACAGACACAGCAGTGGTGGGAGAGACCACCAGTGCAGCTCTTCACTCACCAGATAAAACTATGATCAGACGTGAAAAACGTGAGGTTGCATGACCAAACGAAGCCTGCAGTGCTCGTCTTATCATGGACCCGCTATAATCCCAAAACGTAACAGCAGTCATTTCACTGTGTGATTTCACAAGAGATGATAAGTCAACATACGCCACCTGCTGGACACAACTGTAGTAGCGTCTGCCCTCATGGAGAGAAGGTACTTGCTTTTTTTCTATTATATCTAATGACATTTCTTACACATTTAAACTTTAAATGCACAAATTCCCAGTAAAAATATATTCTTAATATGTTGAACGTGTGAAAATTAAATATTAAACAAAAACATTAAGATCTGATTTAAGTTTTAGACTAAAGAAAAGTGCTACATTACCTCTTAACTATAAGCTGTAACAAGGGTTTAGTATAAACCTTTAAAATATGTAACTTGAATAATATTAAAGTAAGTTATTGTCAAAATAATACACTAAATAATAAAATGAGGTACTATCATATTACATGTGCAGGTGTAACTTGTTGTTTTTTGTGTGCAAAATGTAACTATTTTGAAGGTAAACAGGTGAGGGATCTCTTGTATACAGGTAAATGTGAATGTACATCTGGCAATAAAATGCCATAGAGAAGACTGCAGAATGGTAAAAGAGAGAAGAAGATGAGTGGTGGTTCATATTTTAATAAGACTAAGAGACTGAGGAGGCCAGCACTGTGGCTCTCAGCCATGGCTCTGCTTTCAGATGAGTTCTCTATTATGAATGAGGCAGTTATAATGATGGGAGAGCACTTCTATAATAAAACAAGTCCTGTTGCTGAGCTACAAGACATACAGTAAGACACAAGGTTCCAGGATGAGTCAGGCTGGCTGCTGGAGAGCTGCATCAGCTAATTGTTGACTACAGATAACACATATCACACCAGAAAACATCAGAAACAGTAAACATTTACATGCATAACTATACACATTTGAATCAATCTTGTTTTTATTTTGTTGAAATACGTTCTCATTCATCGGTAGATGGATAGGTTTATGATGACAGGTGTGGCTCTGTTTAAATGTGTTTTACCTAAACAATTTCTTTTAATAAGATTATACCAACATTCTTAATATGTATAGTAAAAAGCAAGGTGTTACCTGCTGGTAGTAGATATAAGCCAGGACACCAGCCAGGACCTCCAACAGGAAGATGCACAGCAGCAGGACAAAGTACTGTGGACAGGAGAGTTAACAGAGACAACTGTTAATGACATATTCTAGGAAAAGGAAAATGCACAGATCTCTGTATGGTATGAAGATCAGCATATATGACATGTATACATATACAGCATACAACTCTAAAGTGCTTTATATTGTAGATAAAAACAATATAATATAATAATGAGATAATAATAGAAGGAGAGGTAGAAAAAAGGAGAAAAAATATGTAAATGAAGTGAAAAGGTTCTTTTAATAATCAAGGTATTTGATTTTCTGATGTTTATCACAGCTTAAAACATCTACATTGCAATTAATATATTCATAGACATATTTGAATATTTATATAAAAATAAAATATTCAAATATTCATTTAAAAAATACACTACATTAAGTAAAATTTAGAATTAAGAAGGAAAACATCAAGCCAAAAACATTTACTGGCCCTGTAACAGAGGCTGAGAAAGTACACTGGATGTAAACAAGTAGGTGTTGACTTGTTGGCAGAAAAAAAAAAAAAAAAAAAAACTACAGATGGGTTCAGGTCTAAGATGTTCTAAGAACATGATGTCAGTTATGTATATGAACCAACAATATCAACATGTGACTGACAGCCTGTGTTACTGACAGCTTTCAGATAAAAATCACTTGGTAAGTGGTTTTGGCTCCAGGTTTAAAAAAAGGTTCTGGATTGTCCAAGTGTGTGGCTATCTCATTTGGATTTGTCATATACGGTCTATGAACCTGTCAAAACTCGGTGCCCTTTAATCAAGTTTATTCATCCTTTGAATGTACTTTGTGTCCAGACCAGGAGCTACCGGTATATGAAGGACATACCATTCTGTCGTTATCTGTATTTCAGACAGGAACAGATCTTATCAGCAAAGGACCCTGACCTGAGTGGTCTGCCATGGTCAGAGAAGAGAACATTAGCTTGATAGAGTGGATGTGGTCTGTGACTGATTGGGATGATTAGACCTGAGGGTAGCCGTCTGTCTCAAGGTTGAGCAGCTGATATTTAGATGTTTTTGATGGTACAATGAGTGTTTGGAGTCAAAGGGTTAAAGGAAGAAAATAGTGTTCTCCTTGTAAAGGGTTGGTTCACAGTCTCAGTGCCATTATAATACTTTAGGCTGTATAATAGCATAGACTCAAAGTCATATTAACAATAAACTCACACACTGATGCTACACTTAATGGAGTGTTTAAAATGTCCCACCTCCACTATGACCATTAACCTAAGGTGCTGACAGGACACAGCAGTTGCTGTTCTCTTCTGCCAAAGAAAAAATTCCTCAGACTAACTTTCTCTTTCACTCTGTATTTGAGATACTCACTTTATAAAGTGTTTTTTTAAACAATTTCTGTCAAAGTCAATCTTTGCATGAATCACTTTTTAAAAAAAGCTGTGCACAGGCATTAGACATCTCCAGTTTGGGAAGTCAGATTGATCTTGTGGAAGCAGAGGAGACTTTCCTTACAAACTGTGCAGTGTGGCTAAGCAAATGCTGTAGGTTTATGTGCAACAGTCAAAACAAACAGCCTGTTATAAAAACTTTGTGTAGCAGAACAGCAGTGGGCTGAACAGCTGTGAAGACGTTAGTGACAAGGTGTTATGTATGTATACTATATTTCCTGGAAAATGGGACAAGTCTGCATATGGACAATAGAAAAGCCAAGTCATATATTTCCTATATTAGTGAAAAGAAGGTAAAAAAGTAAGAGAAATGTAACAAATAGTCAGGAGCAAGTTGAAAAAGAGATCCTTTAACTGTGTCCATATTAGGAAAAGACTTTTTTTTTAACATAACTTGTTCTCTAGTCAGGTATTCAGCCCACAGAGGCCAAACACCAGGAGATTCTTCGCTGTCAGTCTAAAAGCAAGTGACCTGAAGAATTTATGAAACAAAAGAAAGACTGTTTGCATATTTCTTTTACAGGTGACTGAGAATGGGATTGTTCACTGATGTGTCAAAAAGTTAAAAATAATATTAAAAAATAATTCAGTCAAAGGATTTTGACTGGTCAGTAAAAACATGAAAACTATGACACTGCTTGAATTTTTTCTTGACTTGACTTTTTATCTGAGCAACAAAAGACACCGATTTGTAAGGGCCAAGTTTTACAAATCTAAGCTTGATCTTGAGTTTCTGCTTCAATTAAAATGTAAAATGTTAAATCACCGTCTCATCGTTAATGTGCTTGTTTGAGCAAAAACATAACATTTTAATACAGTATAATATAGTTAGTATTAAAAATTAAATAACTTTCAACGACTTTCAGTACCCAAAAAAACCCTTCAGAATGGAAAAGAGGCCTGATAAGGCCAGAACGTGACCAGAGAGCCAGGCACATCCAGGTGGTTCCAGTCTCTGAGGGGACAGTTTTCTATTTGTTTTGTCATTTGGATTGTAAAAGATTTCCTGTCCTCTCTCCAAGTCATTAAGTCGTTGTGTGATTGAAGAACCACCACCCTCCCCTTTTTCTGATCTCCTTCTGACTACTCTCATACTTTGCCCAAAACTGATTGCTCCCAGCCTGATATTACAGTATATTACGGCCTTTCCTGTAATCAAAAGGAACTGGGAGTTTATTGAAGACCTGCAGAGGGTGATTTGACTCTGTCAGCTTTTTTTTGTGGTATAATTTGTTGACCTTTAGGTTAGAAGACTGTGTTGACAATCACCCAGGGACTAAACACATACAGGAAAACAATCTACTCCTCTGCTGCTTCCTCTGCTCCATAAAGCTCAACATCTTAAACAGTCTTAGTAACATCTCTGTTTACTGACACTTCCTTCAGTGTGATTCATGGCTCTAACCCCAGCTCCTTAGGACAGACCTTGTACCTCTAAAGCACACACACAACATAGACAAAAGGAGTGGTGAACTTACTTTCAATTACACATACAGTATGAGCGAGTCACATGAGAACTCCATAAGATCCTGATTACAGTATCAAAATAATCTGGACAAAGTGGGCACTTGCCATGTACATAGACTATATATATATAATTTTTAACAGGTGTATTCAGAATGTGTAGCTCTCCTGAGTTAACACTATAAGTTAATGGGTGAATGCAAGTAATTACTTTAAGCAAACGTATTGAGGTTGCTTTTGTTTAAAATACTGACATACAGTATATACAGTACATGTCTGTAAACCTCCTGTGTTGTAATCTCTTACCACACGCAGCAGTTTCCTCTGCTCCTTGAAGGTGGCGCAACAGCCCAGCACGCCCGTTACCATGACAATGGCTCCAGCCAAGACCAGGATGTAAGCAGAAGCAGCATAGGTCATGGATGGGAGAAGGCTGATGTAGTCACTCTTCTCAACCAAGGTCCACACACCTACTCCCATTACCACGCCCCCTGCCAACTGAGAGGAGAACATGTGTTTAAAGTTAGGCAAAAAAACTTGGTCTGTGTCTGGTCCATTATAGCATAATGCACACACAAAATAAAAGCTAGTAAAAATAATAATAAAATAAAGCAGAACATCCTTTATTTATAAAAGGGTTAGGGATGTGATTATTTTAAGAGCTGAGATTTTACATTTAGAAAGCAAATATATGTTTTCCATTGTAATCTAGATCTTCGATATTAGCCAAGAGAAAATCATATGGGAAAATAGAAGAAGTCTAATCCATCTGACATACTGGAACACAGCAGATGGTGCTGCACTGCTTCTTGCCAAAGCTTTCATTCATGCGGCCAGTTTAATTGGTGTTCAATGTTTAAATGTGAAAAAGGTAGAGAAGGAAACGAGACAGGATTGAAACTGCACCACAGTGGCCGAGGAAGGTACGGAAGAGGGGCAGTTGTTCATTAATTAACAACCTCTCTAAATAATAACATCATTGTATGAAGTTTGTTTTAACATTATAAAGTGCTTTACTCCAAACTATTGAGGACATCAGCAAGTCAAAGAAATAAAATACAACAAAATTCAGCAACGTCTTACACACCAATGCTGTCTCTGTTCTTATTGCGCAAGTTGCTAACATATACATTGCTCGATATACATTCAGGCACCTCTTTACATCCCATAATAATCATTAATTATAAAACAGTGGAATTAGTGAGGTTGTGCTCAGGATGGGCAACAAGTGCCAAGACGGTAAGATAAGTTCAAACAGTGTATTGGAGAATATATATTTTAATCTATTGAAAGTTACAAATCCTTACTTTGCTGCTGCTCAATATTTTATTGAATATTTTTGCATTTTAAATGCAGTTGAATGACTATAGCTCTCCTCTTAGAGTTACATTAAAACGACTGTAACTACTGTATATCCTACAGTTCGGACGAAATGAACAGCTAGCTAATCAAAAAAACAATTTCAAGTGTCATACTGGGGCTATTCTGTTGATTTTGGTTCAAGGTAGAAATACAAGCCTGTGAAATGTGTGGCAAAACTGAAATTACTGAGATTAAAAACTGCATCTATGAGAGAAAGATGATCATCCCACTGTAACAATTTACAAGTGAGCTTTCCGAATGTGAACGTAAGAAAATCCTTCATTACCGAACACAAAAAGCTGCATCTCTAATGCCTGACTGCAACACTACAGCCAAGTACACTCTAAATATAGAAGCAGTTATTTATAGGGCTTTTCTCTGGAGTTCAACAGTGGAAAGTTTTGAGGAATTCTGCTTTAAATGTTCTCTTTGTCCTCTGCTAAAATATGCAACTTGACTAAAATCATTCTTACAAGACCACAAATTTACTACTCAAATAATAACATAATTTGTTATTGAAAAGCAAAACCATGTAGGAAAATGGTAAATATTAGAAATCAAAATGGGTTTTAATTCTTTGGTTTACCAACTCCTCAAAGTGAAAATTGTATACAGTGAAATATTTTCCCATATTAACAAGGTTATAGAAGTGAACTGGGTTTAGGTAGATGAGGTTCATAATGACACTTGGTGAGATATGTTACGGCACTGAAAAGCCATAGTAATTGCAGGGGCACCATTAATGACAAACCAAATAAATTAAATTAAAAAAAAAAAAAAACTTACCCAGAAGAGAAAGTTGAATGTAAACAGGAGGTATTTCAGACAGATGGTACCACAAGTGTTTTTCTCTTCATAGGCCCCCATTCTGAAATGTATGATGTCATAGGATCAGTTAGGTCACAAGATCACAAAATAAAAGTAACTTCTAAATACAATTAATACATTGAGTAAAACCTGTAAATAATATCAGTATGAAAGACGTGTCATGTTGTAGGCTTGTGTGTCACAGCAGGCTTTGAATTGAATCGACTTTGTAGCCAATGAATTCTCCTTTCTGACAGTGGTCTGACCAATGTAGCTTTAGTGTCTTCAGTATCAATTAGAGATGCACCATTGGACCGTCCAGTGATAGATGTTGGTTTCAAGATTGGCCTTGAGCTACAGATGAAGCTCACACTCAGTGAGTTGTGGCTAACATGTCATTAGCTTGTGAAATGAGTAAGTAAAAAAAGAAAGGTCATGCATTGTTCTTATTTCCTAAGTACCTAAAAAAAAAAATACAAACCGCAGAGATTTTTTTTTTGTTATATACACTTATTGCACAAGGCTTTATTTGTAGCAAAGGTGGGTGAAGATGAACCTCATTCTGGTTAAAGTTACCTTCTGTTAAATAATTACAATTCGATACAGCACAGTAACAAAAATTGTGGTCACTTGTTAAGTACAGGCCTAGTGTCCCATTAACCCAATTCCCCAATCAAGGTGTTTTTTTGTTTTTGTTTTGTTTTTCTTAAGATTTAGCTACAGCTAAACAATGTTTAAACAAAAACTACAAAAAAAATTGGAATTTTGCTCTAAAAAAAACCATAATAAAAGCCTTGTTTTAAAGGCAATCTGTGAGACACTTTTTATAAATGAGTTGTTATAAAGTTAATGCAGGCCACGGGGGAGTAAGCACTAGATCAGCAGTGTAGACAGAAACACTGAGGTGAGCAATTCCATGTCTATGCAGACAAAAGTAATGACTAAGCAGTTAGTCAGATCCAGGAGTCTGCTTAAGAAAGAAATTATAGTCAATCTCCACTTTTGTGGGTGGATCAGACATACAACATTTGATGCACTAAAATTCTTATCTTACACAACCTTCACTTCATCTAAAAGGAGATCAGTGTCGGTAACATTGAAACCACAAAAAACAATGCTAAAATATTAACTGGTTCTGCCTGTGAAGATGTTAAACATATGTTCTGTGAAAAGATCCAAAATTAAAACAAACAAACATCTGTATAACTCTTGATCTTTTACAAACCATACACTTTCCTTCCCTGATCTTCCCCATCAAGCCCAGACTTGCACTCGTCATTCAGCACAGATGAGTGCACTACATGATTGAGTTTGTCTGAGTTCCGTCTGTTGCCCAGCTGTTACTGTTGGTCCACATATTGTGGGCCTGTTAAATGAAGTCTAACAAAGTCTGTATTGACAATTGTTTTCTTTTCCTTTAAAGAGCTGTTGAGCCAAGACAGGGAGCTTCCCATGTCAATTTTTTACACATTTAGGAATCTTTTAAAATAGAATAGTACAGAAAGAGTATGCTACTGCATTGCTAATATATGCATTGAGGAAACAGATCCCCATCAAGGTGCGGTCTCTTCTTTTAATCTATTCACTAATGCACCATCTTGGTTGAAAGACACATTTAATAAACTGTTTCCCATGCGGCAATCACTTCACATTCAGTAATTTAATGCCCTTTCAATTTACTTAAGAGATTGCATTAGTGTAACTACTTGGTAGAGGTCCAGAAATGTTTGTTACAAACATGAATGGAAAAGCTGCTGTGAGAGCAGAAGACAGTAGTCATGTTTCCAGCATAAGGACTAAACTCCTGCCATTTTTAACTAAAATATTACATATCCGTGACAAAAGACAAAACCTTCTATGTAAAATGCATTTTTTGAGACATGTTTTGCTCACAAAAGTACAAATGGAATATTTTTCTACCTTTCGTGGGTAGCTTTTTTGGGATTTGCTTGTAGTCATTCAGACACACAGTGTTATTAGTAAATAAAATTAACATCTTTGTTTAATTATGTTCATTGAGGGTCGGATAATACACACACACACATATATATATATATGTTTTGGGGGAAAAAACAAAAGATAAAATAAAATCATGAGATTTCGTGAGTTTTAAACAATAACTGTTCGCCGTTGTTTTCATATTTTAATAAATAAATGTGGCTAGACGTCCTTGTGAACAGTTCCAAATGGTTGTTGTCTGTTTGTGTTTATACTGGTGGAGCAGTAAAACCATGTGCACTGCTCAGAAAAATGCCTCGGAAAGAATGCCAATTTTTAACGTTTAGAAAGTGAGTTTAAAGCAAAGCGCGTATGACTTTAAAATGATTCATGACATGACAACACTGAAAGTTAGCAACGCAAATACCACAACGATTTAAATCATTTCTTAAACTCTTGAACGTTTTTGTGAGACATTAAATCTCTGCCTCGTCCTCAAAAAAAAAACTCTCATCGGTCAAACCTGATCACAGCAGCGCATCACTCCGCCGGTGAAGGCTAACGCTAAAGTTACTGCCCATACTGCTACACTAATGATGGGAATACATACGTAAACCCTTAAATGACGCCAATTTCAAACCTAGACACATTAGTTGCTTCACAAACGTTACATTAATGTTTCCTTCGTCACAATTCTGAAAACAGACACCAGTCGATTAACAGACAATGGGGCAGCGTCCGCGTATGTGAAGCTAACACAGAACACTTCCTGCTCTCGCTTACCTGCCGTTTGTCTGAGCCGCAGTCCGAGTGGGAAAATATAAATGTGAGAGAAAACAGCCTTAAATGTCAATTCTTCTTTTTCCACGCTTCTCTGCCAAGACTCTCAAAACGTCAGTGAAGCCAGAACACAAAAATCAAAGTGTTGGTATAAAAGAGTGGGACTCTGGGGCTGCTTTTGACTCCACCCAGGGCCACCTTACATGTTCACTGCCTTTTTTTTCTGTCCTGGAGGCAATACTTTCTCAATGATGTGTGAGAAGACACGAAGAGCTGCGTAGATTTGCAGTCTTTCCAGAAGCTGTTTTAGGACATTAAGGCTATTTATAATAACATTTTAAAATATACATATTTATGTGTAAAATACTATAAATAAGGAGCAAGGTGCTCTTGTGGTGAGATCTGTTTATTCTGTCTTTCGACAACGCCCTCGTGTGGTTTTCCCTCACTTTTAACTTTTTTCCCATGGATTTTTTGAGATATTGAGATATTACAACCTGATGTTCCTAATGAGTGGCTTCCAAACCAGGAAAAACGCGCTTAGTGGAGCCCCGTTAATGTTTATAATAAGCAAGATAAAATTAAAGGTACACTGTTTACAATTCATTTACATCTAGTGGTAAAGTTACTCACATGTGACCACATGTTCCTCATCTCACAATGACCTTCTAAACAAACAAAGAAAACTTGCAAGTCTTTGGTGTTACATAAAACTCAAAAGCAATTTTATGTCAGGCAAGAATGGGATGAAGATAGAAGATACTGCTTGCAGACATATGTAGAATCACACAATCACACACACAATTTTAACCATAAGGGTTTGAGAGTCCAACTTGTGTATCTGTGTGTGTGTGTGCAGGCAGGCATATGTGCGTGTGTGTTGGGAATAGGGTTAAGCCCTGTTCTGTGTTTGTAAGACGGCTACAAACCGTCAATCTGTGCTGTCTGGAGTACAACATGGTGGTGTTGAACAGGTTCCTCGGGCTCCAACAATAACTTTGTTGGTCAGGTAAATACACCTTTCTCTAAACTTCACAGCAGCCTCCTGAGACAGTAGTAATATATTTTTTTATTTACGGTGTAATGGTGGTTAGAAGTTTCTTAAGAAGATTAGGTAGAGTCGTAACAACAACCTCCTACTAGCTCAGGCAGACAAGTGCATTAGGCTGATCCACCTCCAAATGCAGTCCTTTTTATGTTCTTACACAGTATGCTCTGAGATAATGTACAAAGAAGCTAAGCAATGGCTAGCAGAAGTACAATAATAACCAATTCTCTAAAGACTTATAAGAATATTCATCTGACTCAGTCTGAATCTTCAGTGTTTGAAATCCCAATTCCTAATCCTCTTCACACCTGCTGTGGCAGTTCAAAGCTATAAAAAAGATTTTTAGTTCCAGTAAGGAGTCTTTTTTAAAACCATTCCTTCTCACAAGACAGCGTCAGGATAAAATGTACCTACTAAACTGTGTAACCTTTTCAATATTATTGCAAGATAAGAGGTTTTTTTTTCTGTGTAGAGTACAACAGGGATGGAAACCCAGTCTAAGTTATTGGCCGAACAGGATTAACATTTATTGACCAATCTAATGCCGTCAAGCAAAATAACTTGTGTGTGAACAACAGTGCAAGGTCTGAATATCAGTGTGAGGATAAAAAGAGACTTAAATCCACAGTGAGAGACAGCAGCTCAAACCTAGATTTAGGAGTTTTGAGATAAATCTGTTTGGAGACAAATATTTTATAAATATGGTGGTAATCAACGAACATCATCGTACCAACCCTCTCACGTTCTACTACTGGATCTACTGGACTGATTATCAGAGTCAATGTCTGTCCCTCTGAGGTTCTGATGGTTTTATAGTAGACTGCCCTAACTACCACATCTGTGATTTTCAGCAGCTTCTATCACACCCTGATCATTTTCCCCAGTTTTAAAATACTAATGTATTTTCTTTCCCTCCTACAGGAGCCCTAATGATTTTTCGAAACACTCTTGCAAAGATTCAGGAAATCGGAGTGGATTCTTATAAAGACCTCATCCACTTGGACTAACATTCCACACTATTGTGATGTGAAATTGATTTTTCTATGTAGCCTGTGTGCAAATGAGGTGCAGCCTTGGATCCCTCCTGGAGCAACAGTCCACCTGGACATATAGCCTTTGGGCAAGATAGGCTTCAAACCAGCAACTACTCTCTGGTGCTACTAATTCAACTCAGTCTGCTCTCCTTTGACCTGTTTGTGAACTCCTTCAGCGAAATTCTCAGAACTGAACAAGCTGTTCAACTCATACTTTTTATGTAAGCAAGAATAACTACTGTTTCAGCAAAACATCATTACTCTTATCTCGGGTTTTTAAAATAATGACGTTTGTTTCCACTACTTTCTTTTTTATTGCTACTGTCCTTACATTTTCTATTTGTTTTGTGTTTGTATTTCACAGTATCCAGGACATTGCCATCCTGTTTAACCTGATCATTATTCTGTTGATGCTGTTCAACACCTACGTGTTCCAGGTCGGTCTGGTGGCAATACTCCTGGAGCGATTCAGGACTCTGTTTATACTCTCTGCTCTCTATCTGACATTCAGTGTCACACTCCATTCCTGGCTTTTGGTATGTCAGAACACAAATAAAAGCAAATTTAGTGGAAAAACACTTGTAACACACTTTAATAGCACTATTTGTCTGGCACAGGGAAGTGTTTACCTTTGTCATAAAGTACTAACATTTCTTGCTTCGTGTTGCATTTTTATATACAGAATTGTAGAGACACACAAATTAGCAAGCTACTGAGAATGTTTCTAAATATTCTAATATTGATAACAAGCATTGCCTGTTAAATAATTTAAGGAAAATAAACTACTCACCTAAATACTTTAACACTTGTTTTGTACTGTATAGCAATGAACCTTTTCAGATAGTTTTTTCCAATTAATTTTCCAGAATCTGCGTTGGATGAATACCAACAAGTTTGTTTGGACAAACAAACTACAGGTGCTCTTTGTAGTCCAAAGAACTGGTAAGTCCTATTATATTAATATATTAATGAATGAATGTCCTATTAAAGAACATGTCATACATACAAGCCATAGTGGTAATGTCCTCATTTTATTTGAATATAAAAATAGTTGACTGCTAAATACTGCTACTGCAGTTACTAGAACTAAAATGTATTTGTACACATTCTGACACTCCTGGGATCCAATTGTACAGAGACCATAAATATAAGATAATTGAAAAGAGATTTTTGACTTTTGTAAAATCTCACATTTCAGAAAATAAAGATGTTTTCAAATAAATTCTGGTCACATTGACTAATTTGGCGTGACAAGTTAGTGTTCTACCCAGGCTGTAAAATACCAACTCTCCATCTCAGCAGACCATGTGTGTGTCATAATCCTGCCTAAACCCCTAATTGGATTAAAGGAGTGATTACACAAATATGCTTATTGTATGTGGTAATAGGAGGGACGGTTATAGTCCTTTGAGAAATTCAGTGTTTGAGTTGTTATGGATTGGCCTGATTAACTGTACAGCCAACATCTGCAGTATAATACCATTTAACACCATTTTTATCCTGACAATATCTTGTGATTGGGATTATAATAGAATGGTATTATAGTAAATTGGGATTATATTATATAATAATATTATATTATTATTATATATATTATATTGTGCTCTTTTTTCATTCTGCAGCTTCTGTGTTCTACTACTATTTCTACAAAAGGACTGCAGAGTTTCTGGGTGACCCTCGCCTCTACGAGGATTCACCATGGCTGCGAGAAGTTTTTGCTCAAGTCAGACAATGACCCCCTGCAGTGCACTGTATCAAGCTTGTAATTATTACTTCTAGTATGAGGAAGACTGCAGCAAAAATGTATTCTTTTTCATAGCAGAGCAAAGTCATTATTTACCTTTACTGTAGGTGAGCAAAATACAGTATGGTAATACAGTACAAGGTATTTTCAATTTTCTACACAATTTATACATAAATAAACTGAATACTACAATGATATGTTCACACTTTTTGAGATTATTTGTTTTGCCATTCGTTATATTTATATAACTCTGTATAAACTGTATTTAATTAATTGTCTGGAGTATCAGTAAAGCAGGATGTTATGGAGGACAGGTGTGATTTAATTTTAAAAATAAAGTTTAAGGGATGAGATTAAAAAGTCGCTGAAGTTTTTTTTAAAAGCTCAGTTTCACTCTAAAGGCTGATAAAAGGTTGACAGGAAAAGGCAAATCCATGTCAGGCTGAGCTGATAGGAAAATCCCTTGGCTGAATACATCTAAACCAATTTTTTTTTAAAACAAAACATTTAAACTTGTTTTTTTTTCTTCAAAACATGACATTAATTGATACTTGCAGCTACAGAGAACATGCACAAAAATTTAAATCCTCTTTTTTGACATCCACAACATTGCAATTCGCTGCTCTGACTGGGTTTATTCTGACAACATCACGTAGTATTTTTAACAATAAGCGCCCAACAGCGGACATTATTTTTGCCTTTTTTTTAACTTTGCCTCCAGTAAGCTCGCGTTCCCAAATAATGATTTGGAAAAACATAATAAATAAGATAAAAAATAATAATAAGATAAACACGTATAATCTCAAACTTCGGGTTCAGGTTTTAAAGTAAACAGCAAAATACTGCCATCTCCTGGTAGAAAGGTCATATGCACGCGCATCCAATTTTTATTTCAATGTACTTTTCTGTAGTACATTGAAATAAATAATAATAATTTCTGTAGTATAATAAAACATTGGCCCTGCGTTTCCTTAACTATAATTGTGACTACTGTACACAACATTTACAATACAATTTTTTGTTAGTGCTATTTCTTATTTGGTTAGAGTAAAGAGGATCAAATGAGACGATATAATTACAGCAAACAAACGCTTGACTCATTCAGACTGCTAAATTACTGTATGCTTTATTCTACGATGTAATTAACGGTAAAAAAGATAGGTTCAATGTAATAATCCTTCACAAAAACACCCTCTTGGTCTTCGCTAACAGATCTATGAATCCAATGATGTGAAGGAAGCTCAACCCCAAGGTTTGTGTGAGAAGACTAACAGTTCCAGAGGAGATTGAGAGATTACTGCACGTTTAGAAATGATTCCTTAAAAATCAATTTACTTGAGTAATGCTTGTTTTTCACAAGCTGTATTATTCTGCCAATTTGCCATTATATTATAATATTGAAAATATATTATAATATAAAAGTGGATGTGTAACATGGAAAGCATTGCATAGTTGTAGTTACATCATGCTTCGTGGTTGTTCCTGTACTACCCTGAATATTTTGTGAATGAAAAAGAGTAAATTCACGTTTAAGATGATTTCTGTGGAGAATTTAAAGGTAGCACAGTATTATTTATCTCATAATTTGTGTGAATAATAAGCAATTTGGTTGTGGAAATTTTACTGAATATTAACTGATAGCTTAAAGAGTATTTTTAATTTTTATTTCATAAACTATCGTAATTAGAAAAAGAAGAATAATCATTAAAAAAAATTAATAAAAATTTTAAGGAAAATGTTAGTTGTCTTCCAAGACGTAGGGGGCGATCTACTTCTAAGTCAAATACGTAGACATTGACATGCACGGACAATCACAAACCAGCTAGCTACTTCCGGGAGCTTTATTATCAATGATTTTGTCACTTGTGTGAGAGTAAAACACTGCTCTGGTGTTTTGTTTTTGCTTGTTGTGAAACATGTCGTACAACTACGTGGTCACGGCGCAGAAGCCCACGGCGGTAAACGCCTGCATCACCGGTAAAACGCAGCTGTTTGCTATGTTTTGTATCCGTTTTCTACACGGAGCTTTCGATTACCACCTGCATGCTAACTGAGCTCCCGCGCCAAGTAGAGCTGCAGCACGGGCCCATAACAACCGTTAGCTTTCTTTTTATTCAGTCCAGTGTTTACTTGTCACATTAGCTAAATATCTTTGGTATGCATATCATGCACACACATACACGCGTCTCTCACCACTGGTCATTACATCGCAAGACCAGTATGCATATTTTTTATTATATGCGCATTTTGGCACAGTTGTTAATACTCTTATTTTTTGTAATCTCTTTACAGTGAATATAATGTTAAAAATCAGTCATTTCACGGCAGTGTCCTTTTACGATCAGACCACGACATGCGACGTGTTCAAAAACTGTACTATCTAGAGGGACCTTAACTATTGAAACAATTTAACGGCCTTATATATTTTTATATTAATGAAATAAACTGCTTTACGTGTAGATGGAATTGTGTACAGTTCCTCCAACATGGTTATTTCGGAACTGTAGCTCCGTCGTATGGCTAAATAATTACCTGTCTTCTTTTCAATTACACCCACCATCTGCATGTAACTTTAACGTCTTCCTGTAATCTTCTTTAGGTTTTCCTCTTTTCCTCCTACCTGGCAACTCCATCACACTTGTCCAATAACATATTAAACTTGTTACTTTAACCCCATTCTTGTTACCAGTCCTTCAAATCTACTAATTTTTAACATTCTACATCCTGGTACACCCTCGTTTCCAGCCTAGTTAGTGCTGTTATTTTAATAAGTACCAGCGTTGCACAAATCGCACAGCAAGGTCAGGAAAAAAGATGCTTTGTTACTAATTGTTGAAGATGACTAAGTTACTGCAGGCAAGGGCCTGCAATAAGCCTGCCATGAAGACCTTTGGTCCAATGGCACTTAGGTCAGCTAAGGTTCATACTGATTATATTGGTCTTACACCATGGGAATACATATATGATAGATACTCATCAAGTGAGCATTGTTATAACATTTCTAATAAAAATAAATACATAAATATTGGAGTTTGTGTTATTGTGTCAACAGGTCACTTCACATCTGCAGACGACTTGAATCTGCTCATAGCCAAAAACACGCGCCTGGAAATCTATGTGGTTACACCAGAAGGTCTGCGACCTGTCAAAGAAGTGGGCATGTATGGAAAGATTGCTGTCATGGAGCTTTTTCGTCCTAAGGTAAGGCTTTCAAAAACTGTACTTGAAATTGTGAACAAAACAAAAAGGAGTTCCCATTTATGAAGTTGTAATTTTTCAGTGCTTATTATATTGTATTGTTATGACCAGCCCCTGCTGTATTTTAATGGATTGCAAAAATCTCTTTACCATTTGTATCTTTTCATCTTTTTTGTCCAGGGTGAGACAAAAGACCTGCTCTTTATTCTCACATCCAAGTACAATGCCTGTATCCTTGAATACAAACAGAATGGAGAGAGCATTGACATCATCACACGTGCCCATGGCAACGTGCAGGTGAACAGCTATACTACTGATGACATTTAGAGAACATTAATGTAGTCAAATCCAACAACATTTGCATTTAAATGTTTTTTTCCAGGATCGTATTGGACGTCCATCTGAAACAGGCATAATTGGAATTGTAGACCCAGAATGCCGCATGATTGGCCTCCGGCTTTATGATGGGCTGTTCAAAGTGATCCCATTAGACCGAGACAATCGGGAGCTAAAAGCCTTCAACATCAGACTGGAGGAGCTACAGGTCATTGATGTGCACTTCCTGTATGGCTGCCAGGCCCCTACTGTCTGCTTTATCTACCAGGTACTAGAGGAGACATGGTTTTTGTTGTCTGCCAGATAAATGGCAAACATTGTAAAAATTATAAAGGCATGTCCAGATTTTTCTTTGGTTCTTTTAAACCGTATAATGTGTCACATTTTTCTGTGATATTATCTAGGACCCACAGGGACGCCATGTGAAGACCTACGAGGTTTCTCTAAGGGAGAAGGAGTTTAATAAAGGCCCCTGGAAACAGGAGAATGTGGAGGCTGAGGCTTCAATGGTCATCCCAGGTAATCACAACTGCTCTGTTTTCTTTTGTTTAAAAAAAATCATCAGTTAGAAATATTAATCAGCCATAAAAGGGTGATTCAAAAAGATCTATGATATAATTTTATAACTAACACTAACTTCTCTGAGCTGTCGAGAAAAGCTTTGACAAGTTTAATTGCTAATTTTTTAACTTGTTACTCAGTTTATTTTTTTTCTAGAATAGATATCAGTGGGAAGAGTCTGACTTAAAATGAGCAGTGAGATAATGGATCAGAAATATGACCAGAAAATGTCCAAAAATAGCAAATATCTTATTCTTCATCCTGTAGGTATTTGTTATATTTCAAAAAGTGATGTTTGAGTGAATTGTGTTACATTAAAGTTATTTAAATCAGATAATAAATAAAGGAAGATACCATGCTCTGATGTCAATGTTATGAGAATAAATTCTACAAAACCTACAACCATGTAAAATAAGTGTATAACTAATTTTTGTACATCACAGTTACTCTTTTTTCCCTGCGTTCTTGTATTTTAGTCCCTGAGCCATTTGGTGGCGCTATAATCATAGGACAAGAGTCCATCACCTACCACAATGGGGACAAGTACTTGGCCATTGCACCACCTACTATTAAGGTAAAGATATAAAATACATTATATATTCTTAATTGGTATATGTATATTTGTTGTGTAATTAGTAAAATGATCAGTTATTGGACAGTTAGGCCTGGTTTTTATGCCTTGCTTCTGTATTTCAAATACATAATTAATATCATATATATAATTTATATTTGCAGATATATGCTCCATATATGTTACTTTTACTAATTCAGTAATTTATTATGAAGTAGTTAGGCGTAGATACTTGCTTAAAAGATGGTTTTATTAATAAACTGGCCAGTGAATAGTATAAAAATAAACCAGCACCTTTTTTGGATACAAGTGTTTAGTGACTTCATAAAGAAAGTTTAACTTATTATTACCTAACATAAAGCTCAGTGAAGTTCACTGTCAGGGGTTCTTTATGCATTTGTCAGATTTCTTGGCTTCATTGTGGTGTAAAGGACTAAACAGTCATTCAGTTCTCAGGTGGGAGCAGGAGGAGGAGCGGCAGTATAATTATGTCGAGTGAGAAAAGGAGAGTTAGCAGCATTTAGGAAAAAACCCAGAGGTGCATGTTGATTAAGAATGATGTGTTTGATGTGGAAATTGGATTTAAACGGCAGGTTTTTATAGCTGCTGTGATGATGGATTAAGAGCTTCAGATACCAATGCTTTTCAGGTGATTTTGAGATGATGCTGCTGCCTGCGTTAACAAAGCCTGAAGGAGATCTGAAGCTACCTGTTTCTATAATTAGACACTATGCCTTGCTCGGGCTGTCTCTCTCCTCTCTGCTATCGCAATAGTAAATATTAGAAACAACATATTGGATTTCTTTAGAATTATTGGCTAAAGTTTTTCTGCTTTTTAGTAAAACCAAGAATGCAGTCAGGGTTTTTTGTAACAGTTGGGAGGTCAGCATCATACATTTGCAAAAACAAACAAGCTAGAAAGAAATACTTGAAATAGTTTTTGCAGATAAAATTGTTATTTGGTTGATATTCTATGCATTGTCTGGGCCGTACTGTTGAGTACATGTACAAATATTTATCCTGATTTGAGAAATATTTGTCCTTGTTTTTTTTCTTTTATATAATTTTAATTGATCACATTACTTTTATAAAGATATTAAATATCATTTCAAATATATGCTACCAGTGGCGCTTTGGCCCAGAGGCATTGTCTCTATCATTAGTGTGGAACCCCAGGGTTCACCTCCTGGGCAGGTTCGAATCCCAGTTAGGGCGGTTGGTACTTTCCAGTGGACTCACCACCCGCAGGAAGGTTTAGGGGGGTTGGTACGGTGCAATGTGATTTGGGTGGCGACTGCTGCCCCCGCGATTTTTACCTATTTACTTATTTTTCAACATACTTTGTAAAAAAGTTATCAGTGTTTGAAATTAGATATATTTAGTAGTCTCTTTGACGTCAGCATTAAGATTGAGATAAATCCAACTAAAACTTCCAACAAATCAAAAGCTTTACTAATATTTTAAAAATGCATTATACAGTGTCTCTAACAGACAAGACAAATCCTAGAGCTGAGCCCAACCCCACATTAGAGAAGCCCACACAAGCACCAGGCAGCAGCTAATCAGGCATTAGACCAGTGGTTTCCAAAGTAGGAGGCAAACAAAATACAGATCAAAGCTGAATATTTGTCATATACACTCAGTGTCTGTCTCACTGCTGCAATCCTGTTTGGGAACCCTGCAGCGCAAATCAATTCTACAGCAGCCATGGACAAGGCATGCATGTCAGGGTTCTAATAATTCAGGGTTTATGGGTTGTTTTTTTTTTATTTTCTCTCAGGACATAGAACAACACTAATACACAAATATGATACATATACACACACATATGAAGAATAATACTTCAGTAAGTTAAAACATCTATTTATTTTATATGTGTTTTGTGTGTGATAAATACATCAATCTATATCATAAATTGTAATTTAAAAGTACAGAAGAGTTGAGCACTGTTACACTGCCACATCACAAGTGTGTGTCCTTGCAAGAGGTTTAATATTGAATAAAGAAAGGGGAAAGATCCAGCCATTATGGACTGTAATTCATACACACCTGCATCTCTCCTGTCAGCACACTGACTTATTTCACAGTTGTCTCACACACTGTTAAATGTCTGCTACAACGCTGGTCTCCACATCAGCATCAGCCACCGTTACTCATTAGATGTTTTCAGAGAGATGAAACGGGGCGTCTGCTGTGTGACTAATGGAGCCATCCATTGTAAATACAGCTGACGTTTTTATTCCTCAACTTTCTTTTATACGTAGACTCAGCATTCAGTAACAGTGCACCCTCTTGATAAAGACACAAAAGCATGACTTTGGATATATAACATCATTCAAACAGCTAATTGATTAATGTTCACTTTTATAGACAGAAGTGGAGAAAAACTGACTGTGCCATACACCATGTGTTTAAAAGCTGCTGCTTTTAAGTCTGCACAGTTTTTTTGGTACAGGTCAGATGGTAGTGGCTCAGAAAACTATTTTCACATACTCAGTACGTTTGGATAAGATAAGTAGGTTGCTGTCTATGTGAGAAAAGTGGTATCGATGTTTAAATGTATAAACACGTGTTAGGAGTCTTTTGTTTAAACTTTATAAATAATGTACATATGGCCTGAGGTAAAGATTATAATTCTACTGTCTTACAGCATTGCAGTGGTTTCTTATGATGTTTATCTATTAAACACATCATTTCCAAATTTCAAATTTGTGCACATTAATGCTCTCAATCTAGGTTAAGTGAATAATACAAGGGAACAAATTAAAGATCTTGACAACATAATAAATCTTGTTACATTATAAAGTCACTTGTAAAGAGTTACTCATTTTCCTATAATTATCAGATATTTGGGTTTTCTTTACTTAAACATTGCATTTCTTCAAAGTAACCATCTCTGTCTTTAACAACAAAGTTTTTTAATGCCATAAATTCATTCAAAGTTTTCTTAAGTTCATCAATGAAAGACAGCTGATTTGTAAGACGCAACTGACTGATTGATTGATCCAAATTGTACTACAGCAGTTCAATTGCAGAGAAGGGTAATTCCCTACTCTATCACCTGCAAAACAACAAGCTAAAGAAAATTTGGTTGGAAAGTTGTTTGTCTGCCAAAAACGTTTCTTAATCTACAGATCAAAACAACAGATGCAAGGCAAAGGGAAATAAGCATGTTTGAATTTCTTAGTCCAAAACACAGAGACTTTGTCCACCAACAAGCTAGTGAACTTAGTTTTTTATGTAAAACACAGCAGAAGAAAGGTTGACAACAATTATTAATATGACTTTTGTAATTATTTCTACAGAAAAATGGACTTTTCCTCTATCAGAGATAATGACATCAAGAGTCACTCCCTCAAAAGAGGAGAAGGGTATTGGCCCAGGTATATAAGGCCGAGTCTAAATAAAGTCACTAATTAAAATTTAGAGAGGAGGCCTGGCCTTTGAAGATATAAAACAATTACAGGATTTGGCCCTGCATCAGATCCAATCAGAAGTGCCTAATATTTTTGTCTCCAGCTTCTGCATTTAGTAAAGGCATGTAGTTTAACAGAAAGCAGAATAGTTGCAAAATAACTCTTATTAAGTTGTCATGTAATATTACTTTGTATATACTTATATGCTAGGTTTATAGTATATAAACTAGTATATATAGTACTAGTATATGTTCTAGGTTTCCTTATTTGCCACAGGGTTGCAAGTGGAGAAGAAAAACACAAACAAGTTTGCATACAGTAACAACCCAAAAAGTTGATAAATAGAACAGGGAGAATAAAAGTAAGAACATCCTTTATTAACATGTCATGGAGTAGAGGCAATTACATTAAAATATACACATATCAATTCTGCTATTAGGTATATTTTCCCTGTAATGGTTTGAATCCTCTCTATTTTTCTCTCCTTCTTTGGTTCTTTGTGACATTCAGCAAAGAGGATGTTGGGTTTCTTCCATATTTCTGACAGGACTGATGTGACAGCATCACATCATTTAGTGCTGATTAGATGATTGCTCACCCATGACGATGATCTAGTCCAGTGATTCCCAAACATTTTCTGCAGTGGTCCCTTTTTCTAGATAAGACTATTGACTACAAAACATTTCTGCTATTACTTCAAAGCTCCAGTGAACTATATTTTAAAACATATATTCAAGAAAAAAAAAATTACATACCACTGCAATGCTTCACACTGAGGCAAATATAAAGTATATACAAAAAAATTAGTATCTGTTTGCCTCGTTGTACCCAGCACTGTTCCTCCTCTCTTTGTAAGATCTCCTCACACCTAAAGCAGGGGTTACAACTGTATTGGTTAGAGGGCCCAGAATTTTCTTGACAAACACCTTGGGGGCCAGACATTCAAATAAAATGAAATAAAAATAACATTTTTTGTCATTAATATTTGATGTTTATCTTGGCCTGCGAGGCCAAATTCAGTTTATAATCTCTGCCCTATAGGTTGCCTCTTCCATACTCCAACAAGCTTTGGAGGCCTTTTAAGTCAGTAAACCGCTGCCATTTTGAGGAAGTAGTCTGCGATTGTTTAGCATTAAAGTGCTAAACAATTTTATTTGGTTGCTGCTGGAAAAAAAAATCAAAAACTCACCAGACCAAAGTATTATAAGTCATGCAACTGTAATGGGGAGTGATTCATTCACATTAGTCCCATTATACTTGTAATTAACCCTGATTTACTAGTGAGAAGTCTATACTTTCTAGGATTTATTTTCTCTCCATTGTACTAAGCTTTGCTATTCCCTCATTGATAATGTTTTCACATTTCTGGCCAGACATCATGCTGTCCTATTTAATGCATGCTTTTCTTGTCAGGAGAAATTTTTGAAGAGTCTGTAGTTTTAAGTTTTGCCTCAGGGAAAGTACTGCAAGTATATCCTCATAATGACAGATAACAGAGACAGAATACTGACGACAGGTCCCTGTGGCTGTATTTTAACATTTCCTACAGCGCTTAGATAAAGGGATGAGGTGGGCATATTTTTGACACTGGTTTTAATTTAAGAAGCTCTTTCACAGGCTATGTGCGATTTTTGCATGTGTTCCCTCTTTTTCAGCAAAGTACCATTGTCTGTCATAATCGGGTTGATCCCAATGGTTCCCGTTACCTGCTGGGGGACATGGAAGGACGCCTGTTCATGCTGTTGCTGGAGAAAGAGGAGCTCATGGACGGAACAGTGACGCTCAAAGACTTGCATGTGGAGCTGCTTGGAGAGGTCTGTTCTTCTTTTACCTTTGCTGGTCATTGATTTTTGTTTGGTGATGAAAAAAGTGATGGGTGGGTAGTCTCAGTTGATTTAAATTTTACAGCCCAACAAAAAAGTTATGTTCCCCTGATTTGTTTATTTGATCCCTTAATTTCTTTAAAGATGATTTAGACTTACCAGGGAAGAAGGTAAAATCCTTTGTTGATACTGTGTTGATATAAGAGAAGTCAGTCTGTTGTTGTACCTCTTGTGTGCATTGGGATCAAGTAGTAGCAACTGAGGCTCTCTGTGTCTCCCTGCTTATAGACATCTATTGCTGAATGCTTGACCTACTTGGACAACGGTGTGGTCTTTGTGGGCTCCAGACTGGGTGATTCACAGTTAGTGAAGGTAAGCATTCACCAAGGAGATGAGTATTTATGAGTTTACGGTCGGGCCGTTGATTAAGTGTAAATCTGTCATTCTGTGTTAATTTTTTGATCTGCTTAATCCTAACAAATCAATTCATGCATTTACTATGAAATATATACAAATATAAATAAAAATATACATACTTATATAATTAGATTTATGCAGTTATCAGACACCTTTATCCAAAGTGACTTACAAGTGGAGGATTAACAATCAAGCATGTGTTTCCTCTAGGAATCGGACCCAGGACTCTGATTTCTGCTGCTGAGGCAGATATGCTAACCGTTAGCCTGCCTCAGAAGCAGAGAGTCCTGGGTTGGAACCACCATATTCATTCAGATACATATATAATTGTTACATATATTTTTTTTTATGAATAAATATTTATATTTATATATGTATACAGTATGTGTAATATATGTATTAATTTAAATCTAGTCACTTTCTTCCTTTTTTATTTTTTAATAGTTAGTATTTGTAGATTTTTTTCTCATATCTGTGCTAGTTAGGTAACCTTCTAATGGGAGAATGAGCAGGATAAGAATCCAGATCCTGCTGATACCTGCCCTGCAAAATAATCAAAAACCAGATGGAGCCAAACAGTGCCAGACATGGTCACTCTGCAGAACTATCTCAGAAGGCCCCATTTCTATAAAATCAGTGTAGCAGAACTGATTGATTTTGTCCAAATCACATTCATCAGATTGCAAAAATGTACAGAACACATTTCCTTCTTGGTCAGGCTGGTCTACTGCAAGCTGGGTGTTTAACTCGAAGCTGAAGCCTCCACAAATGCATGCTTGGCGTTAAGATGGTATTTTGAGCTAAACATGCTTTGGTTAAAGGAAATTGTTTTCCTGCAATCTCTGCAAAAACCAACTTGTATATTGAGTGTATATAAGTAATAATGGGTAAATTATTGGATAATATGAATTTCACCAAATAATTAACAGGATTAACGCATTCATTTCGATAGCCATAGTTTACATATGTTCCATTTGTTTTTCACTGGACTTCTATCAGGGTTGGGCTCCTCCCAAAACTTGTTCAAAATGTTTGAGTTCATAACTTTGCCGTTACATGATGCACTGACGGTGCCTTGTTGTCTTTGTTCCTGAACAGTGCTGCTCCTGGTAGCACAGTATTGTCTTAATAATACATCAATATAGTAACTCTTTGTTCCCTGTGTCTGTGCAGGTATGGGGATTTGAGATTACTGAAAAAAATGGGCTGTATAAAAATTGTCAGATTCAATCACTGGCTTCAAGATGTCTGTAAAATTATATTTACCTGCTGGGGGAAAAGAGGTGGGTGGAAGTAGGACCTCATCATTATTCATGAGGTTTATGTTGTTTTTCCGCAGCTCAACGTAGACAGCAATGACCAGGGCTCCTACGTGGCAGTGATGGAAACGTTCACTAATCTGGGGCCGATTGTTGACATGTGTGTCGTAGACCTGGAGAGACAAGGCCAGGGCCAGGTAATGAAGTCTTACAGTATTTTCCTTAAAGAAACATTCACTACTGCTACTCAAAGTAAGTCATTTGGATTGTGAAAAAAAATGAATCTAATGATGTTACAACTCCACTCATTGAGCAGTGTTCCAAGTTGTAGAATAACAAATGCATGTAAATTTGCTGTGCTTTCTCTAAATGCACTCTGTGCATGCTACTTAAGTCGGCTCAGATCTTGTTGTTGCCAGTGACCTCTGTTCACCTGGCGTCTGCACCTGCTATCCCAGTTTTGTCATGGTCTAATTTAGTTGAATCTTGTTTTATCTGTGATCTTCAAAATGCAAGGCAGGTACATAAAGTCAGATACATTTCTCTGTTCTAGTTTAAAGGTGCACATTGTTGTACACATGATTCCCTCTCATCATGTACTGTATAATACGCTTTATCTAAGAGTAAAGCCTAACAACCTAACATGTCTGTGTGTTTTTGTGCATTCATGAACCTATGTGATTGATGTGTTTTATTGATATCAGAGGAATGTTTTCAAGGCGCTGCATGGTCTTGCACCTACCCTCTGTGGACAAATCTACAGTATATGTATTCTTAATGATTAAACAGGACTGGTGTGATGAGGTTTTTTAATATGTATTCTTACATGATTGGACAGGACTGGTGTGATGAGGTTTTTTAAGCCAGTGCCTTTACTCTGTTACTGCTAGTTGCTGCTGCAATGTCTTACTAGCAACTTTTCAAAAGTACACAGTGTTATCTTTCCACACTATTATATAAACCACAAGCTCATTATTTTTTGCATGATTTTAACACATTGCTTCAGAAATCCTTTTATTTGGGTAAACATTCAGTTGTATAGGAGCCGTGATGCAGCGAGGGGTGTAACACTGGCTTATGTAGAGAACTGGTACAGAGGGCTTTGTTGGCAGGCATGAGGACAGGCCTCAGGGAACTTGATGTGGTTCCAGAAATGGTATCGGTCCACTGTAGGAGCACTGAGCCGAAATCTGGGTACAGAGCATCAGTAATTGTCAACGGATACATGTGTCTTGTGAAATAATAGTTGCTTTCGTTAGTAAATAGTGTAAGTCGTACAGAACGTTTCACCTGAATGATGTTTGGATTCCTATCAAACCATTAGATGGCAGCAGATTTTATGGTTGAAGTATAAAAAGGTCTGACATCATCATCCATACTGCATAATGAGCCCTATTTACTACATAAATAACAAACAATACGTATGATTCTGCATTAGTCTGCAAATGAGTGTAAAAGAACATGCAGGTACCTGCTAAGGCCAGTGAATATATTTTAGATTTGGTTATTTTCTTTTATGGTGAAGTGAATGATTCTCATGGTCATAGTACAAATAGAAGTGTCCTGTCAGTGAGATGGGAAAAAATAAATTGACATACTCTGTTCATTTGATTTTAAGCATCCTAATTAATTTTTTGCTGTCTATTAAAATTATTCTTCAAAGAAATATTGTCATTCTGACAAAGACTTATACTGAGCATTTACCATAAACTGTCTATGCTTTTACTTCACCTAAGTAAGACCTACTGGCACCGTTGAAACTGAATGTGATGACTACAGCAATAACGCAAAACCCATTCCAGAAAACAGTTGTTCTTTTACCAAAGTAAAAAATTTTTTTTTTTCCCCTGGTTCGTGTCTCTGCGTGTCTGTTTCCAGCTAGTGACTTGCTCGGGTGCATTTAAGGAAGGCTCTCTGAGGATCATTCGCAATGGCATCGGGATTCATGAGCATGCCAGCATAGACCTGCCGGGAATCAAAGGTTGGTGTTCTTTTTGTTTTCCTCTGTCTTCTTCACTTCCTCCCTCTCTCTGTTTCTTCACCTCCTGCTCAAGTCCCAACTTTATCTGAAGCTTAATCCACTCCTGACTTGACAGCACAGCAGCACTTCAACCTTCACACTTGTCTTTACCACAGCTATTGTTTATAGAAGCTGGGCATGCAGGCATAGTTTGTTACCCTGTTAGTGCAGAGATATGAAAACAGTCTATTTGGCTAGAGCAAAAGAGTGGCAGCTATAGCAAACTGTTAAGGTAAAGCATATAAGGTTTCAGTGATTTCAGAAAAATCTTTTAATCCCAGAAAATTGGGTTCCTTCTGTCTCATGACAGGTTCTTTGACACCCAAATGAGACACACAGGGCAGTTTAGGTCTCCCTGCACTTGTTAGGCTTCAGTATTTTATTGACTAGTTCTGCCCTAAAGTCTCAGATGCTGCCTTTCTCACTTGGCCTCTTGATGAGAGGCAATTATTCAACCAATCAATGGCTCTGTGAGGGGGATCAGGACCCTGTTTGTCTTGAAACATGTTAACATTTGGCAGGTTTCACATTTTAAGAAATCCAATGGGATATTTGCTTGTTATTGCGTTAATTTCAACCTCCAGCATATGGGAAAAACCCCCGACATATCAAAATAAGAGAAAAATGTTCTCTTCAACACTATTTTATCTCACTTTAAGGTTTGTGGCCACTCCGCTCTGAGGCAGGCAGAGAGACAGACGATATGCTGGTCCTGTCCTTTGTGGGTCAAACACGGTGAGTGTTTTCTGTGCTGCTTGGCCGATTAAGTGCAGAGCCATGCTCTTATCTCATCTAAAGAGAACGCTTTTCCCCTCTAGTGTGTTGATGCTGAGTGGAGAGGAAGTGGAGGAGACTGAACTTCCTGGATTTGTGGACAACCAGCAAACATTTTACTGTGGCAATGTGGCACACCAGCAGCTCATTCAGGTTAGTATACACACACACACATACACATACTTAGTGTGGTGTCTTGTGTTTTTGAGAACTTGTTAATTTTTAGACTTGTTTAGTGTGCAAGGTGTCATCTTTGCAATTAAAATGCTGGACTCAACTGTGGCCTTCTTTTGTTTCAGAAGCTTTTCTCTGCCTAATAATTAAACATGATTAAAGGGTTACAAGGAAAAGAACCAAAAAAAAAAGTTAAATTCTTTAAGGCATTACAGACTTTACTGATTAAAAAAAAGCTTTGTTTACCTTGTTGCAAAACGAAACAGAACAATAATGCTAGCTATCAGCAGTTGTTTGTTGTCTTTGTGAACAAATCTACCGCTTGTCATTTTTATATCTATCCTAATAGAGTATACTTGGTCACGAAGACCATATGATATATAGAGTACATGAACAGGCAGAGTAGGTTTGGAAATCAATGCATTTATCAATTAACAGATTCTCTTTTTTTCATCTTAATGCATAGTTTTCAGACTTGCTTAAGTTTAAGGCTGTTTACAGAGTACAAAAATCTTTTTGTCACATTTTCTCAAACTCAGAAGTCACTCTGAGCAGCTTTATGTTAAGTCCAGGTGTGCATGGTATCTTCTCTGTCACTTCTGAGAAATTCAAAGCAGAATTTGAAAAAAAAACTGTGTGCCTTCAGATCACGTCTGGCTCTGTTCGCCTGGTGCTCCAGGACACCAAGGCATTAGTGAGTGAATGGAAGGAACCACAGGGCAGGAACATCAGTGTGGCTGCCTGCAACCACACTCAAGTGGTGCTCGCTGTTGGCCGTGTGCTCTACTACATACAGATCCTGGCAGGAGAGCTCAAACAAATCAGGTGCAGACGCTTGCAGCACACGTACACGCATCCTCAGAAGATTGATTAGCTGTCAGATCAATGATAATTTAAACCAGTATTCTGCTAAACCTCAAGGACTACTCGTTGCTTCTTAATCATTCTTTCCTTGACTGGTCAAGTAGATGGAAATAATTAACCTTTTTTCCCCTCTTTAAATGTTAGACAAGTGCAAGACAACACCAAAATATGTGCAATAGGTACATCTACATTTGAGCCACGGAACTTTTACTTTCTTCCTGAATCGAACTTTCAATCTTAGTATTTTCCTTGTCTGTTAAACATTTTAAAGTGAAGCATTAGATGTGTCTAACTCATGGTGTTGTTTAGCTTTACAGCTTTTTTTTATCACAACTGCACCAAAAAAGCCTTTAAATACTTATTTTTTAGGCCTTTTGATAGATGTGGTTACAAAATATAATAATATAAACCTGAAAATGAACTGTACTAAACCAGTGCTAAGTGAAGTCCAATTGTCCATTGGGATCTGAGTTTTGTGAGTCACAAATGACTGAAATATTAGAGATGTTTAGAATAAAATTCAAGAAAGTAGTTTAAGAAAATATAAATTTGTCTGTAACATTTTATCCATGCTTTCTTCAGCTCCCTCGGTACAATCTGTGCATCACAAGGTGCTGAGGTTTGATGATGTACTGGACAGTTTTGTGACAGATTTTTCCCACATCCCTATTCCCTCCTCAGCACCACTGAAATGGAGCATGAGGTTGCCTGTCTGGACATCACACCACTGGGGGAGGTTGGGACTGAGTCACCGCTCTGTGCCGTGGGACTCTGGACTGACATCTCAGCCCGTGTTCTCAAACTGCCCTGCTTCACAGCTCTGCACAAGGAAATGCTGGGTGGAGGTGAGAGGAGATTGAAGTAGTGATCAGTCACATGAGAAAAGCAAAGGCGTTGCTAACTTGTGGGGAGCAACATCCAACTGGGATAATGTCAGCCCAAGAAAAGTGTGTGGTTACACTCCAAAGAGCAAAAATATAGTGGGTGAAGTCTAGGAGTGGGAACTATTGTTTTTCTGCAGCTCTTGTCACTTTATAAGAGCTTGTGAGTCGACACCCATTGAGTTTGTTTATGTGTTTATTTCAGCTGAAAAGAGTGGTGCAATAAACATATATTATTGTGCTCTGACTAGCACTATAATAACCATAGCATAACAATAGTCATGGTGCTATGACTATTATTATTAGTCGTTGCAGACGTACAGTGATATTCTTTCTGTAACCGTTACTGTAGCCTGAATAATAAACAGTCTAAAGTGTCTGAACCCACTGGGCAGCGCTCAGTTTATCAATAAACAACAACTGAGGTTATTATAGCCCTGAAAGTTTCACACCTCATAATGTTAAAGTGCAAACCTTGGCGGCATCCTTTTGGTAATCTAAGTGTAATGTGTGATGCCAGGGATTTTCCTTGTCAGTGTACAGTCTGTTGCAAAGTGGATGAAATAATTATAGACAGTTATGACATCATCAATGTCATGTTTGTACAATGAGCATGACCTAACAGCAGCGTCATGTTATTCTTAAAACAAAACTGACCCCCTCTCTCTCTATTTTATTATCATTATTATTATTATTATTATTTGCATTATTAGTATTATTGGTTATTTATGAATATTCATTCTTAGTATTATTGGTTATTTATGAATATTGGTTGTGCAAACGTTAGTAGTAGTTTGGAGTGGACAACATGTACTTTCCCTTCACTCAGTGCTTATCACATTGTTGCAGGCCCCTCCCTTTTGGCATTTAAATTGTGCAAGGAGGAGTTTGGCAGTACAGAAATATATTAATGGATATATGAAAATGTCCTTCTTTCAAACCAACCATTGGAGGTGATGTGTGTTTCCTCCTCAGTGTCTGGAGGTCTGGGACATTAAAGCCTGATTCCCACTGGTCAATAACCCATTTAAACCCAGGTTTTAACATGTCTTTTGGTTCGTGGGAATATATTTAATCTTCTTCACTCTTCAGCCAGATGACTGTGAACAGCTCATAGGCTTTAATTGGCCTGGCTTTGGTGGGAAAACAAGACAGCTGCCCATGCTAATTTCTCTGTTATCTTACTCACTTCCAGCTGTACATTCTACCCTTTAACATATCATTAATAAGTATTGGGGCTGGGTCCTTACATTTGGATGAGAACAGTGATTTTTTTTTACTCAGTGGGTTCTGCTGGTCAAATCCCTACTTGATCAGATCAGGATTCCTAGAACCTGTACCTGATACCAGTAAATCCCTTGGAGAATATACAGTATTTCTTAGTTTTTGCCTTGATTCTATTGGATCCTCTCTCCCAGTTTGTGGGTCACAGTTCCCAGTGCTCACATTGGCACCACTGCCGCTTTTACTCCTTACATCTTCCTACTGCCATAGTATTTATTGATTTTTTGGTCATGTTTTATAAATATAATCCAAATAAAATCTTTCTGCCTTAATGGAGTAAATTAATTATTAAATTAAATTAATAGGCATATTAATCATTGTTTAACATATTTTTTTGCAGCATTTATTGAATTATATCCGGTTTCATTGATTTTATATAATAGAACTCATACACGTCTCCTGTTTATACGCAGTTTCTCTGTAAGCTCATGATTGCTGCGCCAGCATACACTGTGCTGTCAACCCATATAGATGTAATGTACCACCTTAATTCATATTTGAGTGTTAAAATATGCAGAAAGGGACTTGACTACCTTTTAATGGTTAAACTTATGAAAACGTCATCTATCGGCAGAGACAGAGTGAACTGGCACAGACAGGACTCTTACTTTCCAATTAGGGATACCGCCTCACTCTTCCCCACAGAGTAGTATTTTAGTTTTTTCATGTGCACTTGACAAGATTGACAGCTGCTCGGCTCTCAGACTGTGAAAACCTTAACAAGAAGAGTCTGACTGCAGAGTTTTTTTTCACAAGTTATCAACAGGAAACTTTCTAATTGAAAGCTGCTGCTTTTCCTTTTTTTGTTCTCAGAAAAACATTGTCAGTTTTATATTCTGAATAATTTACACTTGTATAAGAAAGTGTTAAATGGACACATTTTAACAGACGTACTGTGTGTCAGCAGTGGTACTATTTAATCAGAGCCTGTGTTTCAATGTAATGACCTGCGGTCAGAGAAACGCATGTTTAGGAAGCGGAGAAAACAAAGGACTGTTATTTACCCTGCAACTTGAGATGTGTGTTTTTTTTTCTAGAAAGTAACCAGTGGCAAATAAACCACATTGATTTTCTAACAGAAACTTTGCTGCAGATATTTATCACTTTGTTGTTCATCCATGAACCTGTGACTTGAGAGTAGGGGAAAAATTAATCACTCCAGGCTGTGTGTATGTGCGCGTGTGTGTGCATGTGCTTGTGTGTGTCCACAGAGATCATCCCCCGGTCAATTCTAATGACCACATTTGAAGGCAGCTACTATCTGCTCTGTGCCCTGGGAGATGGAGCGCTCTTCTACTTTGGCCTGGACCTGCAGACTGGTAGGTTCTTTTACACCTCCATTCCTTCACTGCTGAGTGCTGCTCAAACTTTTCAGAGCTTCCAGGCGAAGCAGCATTGTCTAAGAACATTTGTCACTACCGAAAAATTCAACTTCTGCTTCTCTGGATGTAACTGTGGGAGGGATGTTTTAAGATGTAACGTCTGCATGGACAGAATGTACACGCGGGTGGTAAAAAAATTGAATTTGAAATGTATTTTAGCAGAGAAATTGCTGTAGACAAAGGTATTGTGGTAACTGGCAAACTTTGTGTCGTGAATAGTGAAATCTTTTCTCAAAGCATTTTGTTGATAAAGAATGTACCTTTCTTGCATCTGTTATACAGATGTGTTTCTTACATATGTGTTAACACAAAACAAAGAGCTGTAAGCAAAATTATGTTTGAACAATAATGTTCATGTTGAACAAAAATCTAAAACAACCTAGAATCTGGTTATCCTCCTATCTGTTGTCATGACAGTGACTGGAAAAAGGTAAAAAAAAAAATTGGGTCAGAGACAAATCTACACTTGAAGAAAGAATGGTACAGTAGTTTTGGTGTAGAATTTTGGGTGGCAAAGACAAAGTGTTTTTGTCTCCCGCCGAGCTTCTGTGTCTTTGTATTTCTCTATTGAAAATAAGAACTTAAAAATGATTTACAAAATTCAGGATACACCTAATAAAGGAACACACCCTTTTTTCACACCCAGAAGAGCTGGGATTTGTATTAATTTATGATGTGACAACTTGTTTTCCTGAAACTGAAATTTTAATCTTGAAAAAAATCCCAAATCCCACCACTATTCGTTCTCTGATTTTTCAGACTGAAATAGTCTGAATTCCCTTAAATATGATTTCACGTAAACATGTGTGTACTTTGGAGCACACAGAGATCATGAATATTCACCAGGATGAAGACTTGGCTCTCCTAGAATTTCACTAATGCTAATGCCTTCTACATGCCCCATTAATGTTGACTGTCCAATAACTGCTGAAGCCTGTCATACTGGTCTGCTGGATCTGCTGTTTCTTGTCCTTCCCCCGTGACCTTGTTTGCTTGTAGTCTGCAATATGTTAACCAACATTAATGTTGATGTCAATGCTTCTTCCTTTTTTTTCACTTGTGTCTAGACCTTTTTTTGCTCCTGAGCTCAGGAGGACATGCTGTGGCCTTCACCACTACACAATTATATAAATACCTGCTGTTAACCTTTTTTAAAATATTTAAACCCAATTGCAATGACCCACTTTGATCTATGTTATGACCAGTTCATCACTGGCAGCAGATATAATAGTAATATGTCATACATCCTAACCCTAACCCTAACCCACCACTCATTACACTGCACATTAAATGACTTCCCACCACTCATTACACTGCACATTAAAGTAAATAAAACTGGAGAGGCAGATTCTGAAACAAGACTGGTTTAAACCTTGGAAAAAATCAGAAAACAAGTCCAGCTATGTGAGAGCCTTACATTATTTTTGTCGACCTAGAAGGAAATAAGTTAAATGATTGACCTAGTTAAAGAGAGTTTAAGAGACTTTAAGTTTACAATGGCTGACCTCAAATCGCCTTTCTTGTAAATGTAAAACAAATGAACAAACAATTCAAAATCCTTAAATGGTTAATTTACTGTGACACATTTCTGTGGATAAAAAACATTGGTTGTAACTCAACCTCTTATTAAGGACCGACACATTTACCTTAATAAAATGTTTTTTCTGTAATGACTACAGATGTAGTGCAGCCTTATCTATTCTTGCTGTTAGTGTAACATCCCCTGACAGAACGATTATTAAAGTCTTACAAATGAGAAGCTCAAACCTCAGTGCCTGTACAATGATTCAGCAGTTCATTGATTCTCCTAATAGTCAATGGTAAATGTTTGTACTTACATAGTGCCTCTTCTCCTGATGTATACTCAAATGCTTAGCGCAAAGTTTCTCTCATTCGCCTAGTGACAGAACAGCCTCCGGGAACAACTTGCGGTACCGTGTGTTGCCCAGAGACGTGCCTTATGAAATGAAACCCAGCCGCCATCACTCTGGACATGAAGACAACGGCTTTACCTTGAAGTAGAAAATCCCTTTTCAGGGTCAAGTTCTGTGTCGAGAAATGTGTTGATAAATCTCTTCAGAGGGTCTAGCAAAAACAAACTGATATAACTGTAATGGTACCTTTATGTTTTAGAGATAATATTAAGTTAACAACCAAAATCAGTTACCATTAGTGCAGGTCAACAAATTGTTGTGTGCAGTTCCAATACCATATGTTCAGCTTGAGTTTAATCTTATTTATTATTGCATTTAGAAAAAAGGTATTGACATTGGGTCAAAGTAGATGTTGTCATGGTTACGTATTTCAACACGTAACAAGTGATTGACGTGTCACCTAGAAGTGTCTCATTAGAAAATAACATATCCAGTGTGAAGTAAGCATTAAGATGATTTCTATTCAGGACTCTGGAGCTCACTGAATTGTTTGATTAGCATCACCTTTTGAAATGGTGTGAGATTTTCATTAACCTCTTGTGTTGTCTCTTTCAGGCGCTCTTAGCGAGCGGAAGAAGGTCACTCTTGGCACGCAGCCCACCGTACTGAGAACCTTCAGATCACTTTCCACTTCCAATGTCTTTGCCTGCTCCGACCGACCCACTGTCATCTATTCCTCCAACCATAAGCTGGTCTTTTCTAATGTCAACCTGAAGGAGGTCAACTACATGTGTCCTCTCAACTCTGAGGGCTATCCTGACAGGTCAGCAGCCCTCAGTGGGCTTCAATCCATATTCACATTCTGTTTGTTTCTAGGTCTTACAGGAAGCAGGTTACTGCTTAGTGTTGATGCAACTTATACAACATCTGTACTTTGGTTGTAGAAAAGTTATGTATTTCTCCACCAAACTAATGGGAATTGCCTCCCCCCCCTTCCTTACAGTCTGGCTCTGGCCAACAACAGCACTCTGACAATCGGTACAATTGATGAGATCCAGAAGCTCCACATCCGCACAGTTCCCCTCTTTGAGTCTCCCAGGTCAGTCCTCTGATTACTTATGCTAACTTCCATGTTTCTCGTTTTATTTTTTATTCTGATAAAAAAAAGGTTTTGTGCTGGCTCAAATGTTTCACTTAAAGAGTGTGACTCAGCATTGTAAAGGTAGTTGTTAAAAATGTGGCTGCAGTCTTTTAGATTTAACTAGCCTTGGAAGTGGAGTAACTCTGCACTGTTGCTTTTGGCCTTTTGCACTGAGGAATATGCTGTGAAAATGCAAACTCTGCCTAATAACTTTAAATATGCCAGATTTATGTTAAATAGGTGGTGCAGTTGGAACATGTTTTATTCCCTGCAATGTATCGTGTGAATCGCTTGTCTGTGTATCTGAAACACTGAAACACCTGAAGCAATCCTATTTTCAACTAAATAAAGTCTGTCTGTGGATGTGTTTGAAAACATTATGCCTCCTTAACTCCTAATGTTACCTTACCAGAATCAAAATTTATTTTTTTCCTTGATTCTTCTGTTTTTCCTGTTTCATCTGTGAACACCCACCAGGAGGATCTGCTACCAGGAGGTGTCCCAGTGTTTTGGAGTTCTGTCCAGCAGAGTGGAGATTCAGGATGTAAGCGGCACCACATCAGCTGTTCGTCCCAGTGCCAGCACTCAGGTATTGTTCCGTTTCAAATAATAAACCACAAAGGTTTTTTTTTCTGATCTGATCCACCTTAGAAATATAGAAGAGGGAGATAAATTACAGAAAGAACCTCAGGAGGGACAGTTATATATTAATTCCTGTTTAAGTTTTTTTATTATTCATTATTTTACTGTTAATCAAACTGCTGCCTTTACTTGTATATAGACCTTATTTCTTGGTGTTTATAGTGGAGCTATAAGAAGTACTATGAAGAGATGGTCAATCAAGTCTTTTTACTCTTTGTCCTAAATTAGTATTTTTCTATACCTTAAATCCATTGACATTTTAGTATGTTTTTTTTATTGTCCAACCTATAGAAGGTGTTATAAAGCCTCAGTTGCCAAAGACAGAACAGTGAGAGCAACGTTTAAGAGTGATGAACTTCTGAAGAACCAATCAAAAAGTCATTTCAGCCCGATTTGCAGTAACAGCATGTTGTGTGCCCACTTAGCTCAGCTCTACGGCTTCCCCGAAGGGACAGTTCTGTTTTAATATTTGTGTTTGCATTTACTGCTTCAGCAACTCTGCTTTGTAAAGACAAAAGTCGCCCACATGTGATCTCAATAAAAGATGTTTGCCTGGATTTAAATTCCACACAGCTGCTGCCACAGATGCTTCTTGCAGCACTGTTGAGCATGCACAGACGAAATGGAGGTTTGGAGCAGCCTTTTACCATTTATTTGTTTTCTTATTGTCTCTCCTTCTGCCCTGCTTTAAAAACTCCCTATGCTACCAGGCTCTCTCCACCAGCATCAGCTCTAGCAAGCTCTTCCCCAGCAGCACCTCCCCCCACGAGACCTCTTTTGGTGAAGAAGTGGAGGTTCACAGTTTGCTTGTCGTGGATCAGCACACCTTTGAAGGTGAGACTTCGAAGAAATATCAAGGACTTTTGATGATTGTCGGCGTTCTCCTGTATTCTGATTTGGTCCCTTCCTTTAACACAGCAGCTAAATTACTGTTAACTACTTATTCTGTTTTTATTACTTAACACAGTGCACCAAGCAGGTCTGTTTTTCTTTCCATTGTGTTTTGCAATGCAGATTTTGCTGCCGTAGCCTTGTTTAAAAAAAGGAAAAAGAATCCTGGGGTGGCCTGCATAAATTAGGGTTAGCTTTATGTTAATATTATGTAAATAAAGGTTTTGATCAGCTCATTGTGTTTCTGATAGCTGACTCAAGTTCATCAAAATAAAGTCAAATGTTTACATTTGGAAGCTGAATTATGTTGGTTTAATCAAATGTAAAGACATCAAACACCGCCACACTGGACTTTTAAAAATAAATTAATTCAGTGGAATTGGTGTGTTGGTTATAGCTCCACTCTGTCTAAAAACACTATCCTGTTAACTCATGCCCTATTATACTGACCTTGCTCTCTGCTACTGCCCAATGTTCAAAACCAGTCATGCAAAGTTTGTTTTAATGCAAAATTATTTCTGAATACAGTCAAGGTTGTCTATACACATGACGTACAAACATTTGCAACCTGGGATTTTTATGTATATTTGAGGTAAAACCTGAGTGTCGGTTTCTTCAGTCAAAAGTCCTTTTCAGTGTTGCGAGGTTGCAAAAGCTTTACACATAGAGCAACCAAATAGAGAAACACAAAGGATCAAACAATCAGTAAACAATTGATCTTCTTGCTGCAAACCTGAAGCACTAATCACTCTCCCACCAGGTGTTCAAAGTTTAATGACTTGTAAGAAACTGTGGAACAGTGATTTATCTCTGTATGACTAAGATGTTTACCTCAATAAATTCTCTTTCCATTAAAGCGCTATTTGTTCAATGTTTGTTTCTGAAGGTTAACTTTTAAAAGTCAGCCTCCATATCACCATCGTATGAGCCTTTGAAACTTAGTCACAGAAACAGGTACTTGTGCTACTTTGACACTAAGTTGTGTTCTGTGTCTCCATTAGTCCTTCATGCCCATCAGTTCCTGCCCAGTGAGTATGCCCTCAGCATGGTGTCCTGTCGTCTGGGAAAAGACCCTTCTGTGTACTTTATCGTTGGCACTGCCATGGTCTACCCAGAGGAGGCCGAGCCTAAGCAGGGACGCATTGTTGTCTTCCACTACACTGATGGTGAGCGACCAGGCCTTATGTTTCTACTAAAGACACAAAACTAAATTCACTTTTCTTGTGTTGTTCGTTCATATACCCACCTTGTTTTTTTGTTTCACTCTATTTGTCCTTCACCTAGTTTCATTTCCTCCTCTCCAAACTCTTTGTCCTCTTTTTTTCATTCATGGACACTTCCCTATCCTGCTCTTATTTCCTTTCTCACTTAATCATTTCCTTATCTCTCCAGACTTTTCTCCTCCTCACCTTCATTGAATTTCCCTCATTTGTCTTTAGATGACCTTCTATGGTTGCATTTATAGATTTTAATCTCTCTCTCTCTCTCTCTCTCTCTCTCTCTCTCTCTCTCTCTCACCCATTCAGTATCATTTTATCCTGAACTTTTACTTCCCACATCTATCATAAAGTGGGTTAAATGCATGGTAAGCTTAAGTTAAGTAGATGCTGGACAGGTGTGGCACTGATGGTTTTATTTGTATTTGTTATGACTGACACCTTGTTAATGACCTGCAGGTAAGCTGCAAACAGTGGCTGAGAAGGAAGTGAAGGGAGCTGTATATTCTATGGTGGAGTTCAATGGTAAACTGCTGGCCAGCATCAACAGTACAGTGAGTGGTGTTTATACTGGTTTATCTTACACTTCAAACGATCGCTTTCGATTTCACTATAACTTCATACCAAACATGTGAAACAGTTTGGTATGAAGTGTGAAAAAGTCTTTAAGTCCAACTATTATTCCAGGGCAGCCGGTGGGACAATGTTGAGGACTGAAGCCCTACTTGGAATTGACTGAAAACAAACACATTTCTATTAAAGGGAGAGAAGAGTGTTTCCTTTACATAAACTGTTTTAACATTTAAAACAAATTAATTTTTAACATGAAAAGAATACTATTGCTGTCATTACTGTACCATAATTTTCACCAAAATTAAGATAGTATACCATGTATTAATTTAGTATTGATTTTCTGAACCTCCACAAATCCCTTAAGGAGGAAAAGGCTGTCACTTTTTTAAGTAAGGTATGATAATAATTAAGTTGCCTTTTATGTATGTATTCATAGACATTTCATAGACACAGCTTTCCTACCACTGTTTCAATGGTGTCTTCCAAATATATTAAAGTTGAAAGCATTGGGCTCTTACCAGCTTGCAAGTATTTGCAAGAAATATATACTTAATATATATTTCTTGTAATACTTCCTATATTTCCTAAAACATTAGTAAAGTAAACACATTTGGTGCATGTCACAAAGCTGTGTTAGCACAAGTATCAAGTTGTGAACTTCAAAGGATTTGTGTAAAAATGGACTTTACGCAAAATGTTAATGTATCCAAATTTTATTAACATGACCGAGCTTGGTAAATGCCAGAGCAACACTCACTTACTCACGGACACTGATTTATTTTTTGTCAGACAGTGAATGTAATTGCCTGTAAACTGTTCACGTTTTGTCTGCTCTAACTCAGTGTTCATCACTTTAGCCACATGCTCACTGAGGCTTATCATTTCTACAGTAATATCCTTTATGATATGTGAGCTACTTCATTACATTTTTGCTGGAACTAATTGCCAGTCCTGATTGTTTTCAGGTGCGTTTGTACGAGTGGACAGCTGAGAAGGAGCTGAGAACAGAGTGCAACCACTACAACAACATCATGGCCCTTTATCTCAAAACCAAAGGAGATTTCATCCTGGTGGGAGACCTGATGAGATCTGTCTTGCTGCTGGCCTACAAACCTATGGAGGGTAACTTTGAAGAGGTGAGATGTGGAGAAAAAATAAAAACTCTTAAGCCTTCAAAGACCAACTGGTTTTTAGATGGCAGCACTAAATCTGAAGTAAAACAAAATTCTGCTCCTTTTGACCACAGTTGTTTTTTTTTAATTGTTTTTTAACCTGAGTTTGTATGTGTTAAACGTTATCCAGAGTTTTGAAATTCCTTCTCTTTTGCATCCGCGTCTGGCACATTCTGCATTTCCCACCTGTTTGATGAGCGTAAAATTGATTTTCTGAAGATGAAACGATGCTCACAATGCTGGGGTGTTCTTTTTTATGCAGTGTGGGGGAACAAAATGAACCAGAATCCTTCATTCAGCATGAAAATCCTCAAAATTTTAACCGTTGGAAATGTCATTGTCATATATTCTAAATGATTCTTCCTTGTAGTCTCTATTGTCAGTATGTTTAAATTCATACTGGATCAGGCTCATTCTGACTTATTCAGCATGGTAGTTTGTCTCAGCGGGACATCAGAGAATATCTTGGCTCTGTGTTTTAGTTTTTCAGCCCAAAGTTCTCAAGTTTTGGTTCTCCATTACACTTTCCACATGCAACTAAGTAAACGAACTAACCTAAAACTTATTATCGGTACCTGTGGAAAAGGAAAAGAAGAAAAACACCAGGTGTGATTCAGTGGGAAAAACTGATTAGAACTTAACAAAAATGTTATTAAGTTGTTGGATCCCATTCTACAGAGGAACAGAAGAGAGAAGGTTACAAACAGCAGGGATATTTTATAATGTGATTGCACAAATCCATGTATACAACATGTGTATATGGTGCTACAAGCCAGTTAGGATAAATTCAGATAAGCTAAATCAAATGTAATGGATACAGAGAGCTCTCCAAGCCCCCTGCAGAGGTGACTGTTATTATGACTATTATATTTTTAAAAATTAGTACAGAACTTATATGACTGTAAGATTAGGGTTGGAGTTAAAGATTCCAAAACTTTTCTAATCTTTGTTTTTTTTTTTCTCAGATTGCCCGTGACTTTAATCCCAATTGGATGAGTGCTGTTGAAATTCTGGACGATGACAACTTCCTGGGGGCAGAGAATGCCTTCAACCTTTTTGTCTGCCAGAAAGACAGGTGATGAGTCTCACAGTTTAAAAGTGATGTAGTTAAGGGGACATTTTTATATGTGCTCATTACATTTTAACATTTCTCATAATCACTGACATCCCCCGGGCTTTCCTTCCAGAGCAGAGAATATAACACTGGGTGATTAAAAGGCTAAGTTGACTCCCGTGGTATTTTTTAGAGCAGTGTCCTTGATACAAATATGGAACAACAGTGCAGTGTTAGCATCTGTGGTAAAAATTACGAGTTATTTCGCTGCTGTGCATTTAGCTGCTCTTCTGCTCTTTCTCATTTAACACCTTAAATATCGCACACACGTCAATTTCCAAAGAAAGATGTGGCCTAAAAGTGAGTGCATTACAATTATGCCATCACCTGTTACCCAAATAATACATCAGATTGGACCTCTAAATGCTTTGACCTTTACTTTTGCATTACATTTCTCTCCCTTTCCACACTATCTTTTCTTCTTCACTGCTGAAACCATTACCTCTCCATCATTCACTGACCTTTTGCAACTTCTAATATGTCTTGGCCCCTTGTTTTTCTTCTGTTAATCGACCACTCTTGCCCCAAACATTTTATTTTGTCTTCCATTTGACACTTTTTTCCCCTTTTATTTTCACACACTGACCTCCCCATGTTTGTAAACCTTCCCTTCATGCTTTTTCTCCATCCATCAGTGCTGCTACCACGGATGAGGAACGACAGCACCTGCAGGAGGTTGGGGTCTTCCACCTTGGGGAATTTGTCAATGTCTTCTGTCATGGCTCACTGGTGCTGCAAAACCTGGGTGAAAGCTCAACTCCCACCCAGGGCTCTGTGCTTTTTGGAACTGTTAATGGCATGATTGGTAGGTATATACACACACACACACACACACACAAACAGATATGTTATGGCCGTTTAACTTCTGAGCAATTGAATAGCATGCTTTTTTGTTTGTTTTTCATGGGTTTTGAAACATTTTATTTATTTCTGTTTACAAATTCACTCTCCTGGGGCCAAATTCAACATTTATTAGTCCTTCTTTTTGTGAGTTAGATGAGCAGTTTCATAATTTACCTTGCCACACTCACACATTCATCAAGTGTTGCTTGGAAAATGGGTAAATACTTAGTCTGACTCTTTCAAAAAGCTAACACATATCCTGGAACCTCAAAAAATCCATAATTAACATAGTGTATCTTATTTTTTACTCTATATTAAAAAAGAAAATGCAGGGATTTGCTTCCACATTTGTTTGACATGTGTAAATATGATCTCTAACATGCATGCATAAAACCTAGTTTTTTGTTTTTAATTGTTAACATGGATTTACTCAAAGCCTAAAATGTTGATGTTGAAAAGATGAAAAACTCAAAGGTGAAAATAGGAAAAGGAAGAAGGACATTCTCATTACCAAACTTAATGAACTATAAAGAGCAAAACATCTTGGTTCAGCTGCCAAGTTACTACTGAGGTGCTCTGAGCACGACATCGTCCCCACTCACTGCTCCCAGGTGCTTAAGCTGCCCCCTGCTCACTTTGGTGATGGGTTAAAAGCAGAGGTCACATTTGGTTGTGTGTAGTGATGTGCTGTGTCACAAGTAGTTCACTTTCACTTTGAAACAAACTCATAAGCAATCCACTGTACACCACAATTATGACAAATTTGGCTCTGGTCTTATATCTCTCTAGGTACTTGGAGTCTCATTTTTAAAATTATATGATATATAAATGTGTCTAGGTTAGGTTATAGGTTAAAAGTAAAGAGAGTCCACAGACATGGACACGGTTAAGAAAACCAATAAAGCTTAGAAGCTCTGTAGCGCTGTGGTCCTACATGGGAGTTAGATTCTATGTTGGAGGGATGACCTCTTGTTGCTCTGAACAAGGCTAAACCCTTTGCTGCCGTGATCAGACTTTGCGGCAGACTTTACCTTCCCAAAAAGTCATGACAGTGGAATTTAATAATCAGAAAAACAAAATTTCTGGGTCCAAATCAAAACTCAGTGTTTGCAATAATGGTTGTATGAAGAGTTGCAGAGTACTGGGTGGGTGTGTTTAAGTGTGACAATAAATGAACCTTTTCTTTATGTTTGATCTGACAACCAGTTTCACAGTTCACATCACCTGCTTGTATCAGGATCCACATACAGACACACAAAAACAGCAGTGATGATTTTCTGCATGAAATTACCTATCATCAGTTCCCAGCACTCTGCCAACCACTTAGCATCTCTTTTGTGGAGCAGTTTGCTTTTGTGTTGAACATCATTAGGTACCAGCTGGTTTGGACCACTTACAGGCTGAAGTTGGCCGCAGGTCCTGCTGTGAACACTATCAGGATAAGCAGTGGAAGATGAATGAACGACCTCGTTCAGGCGGCTGATTTTATTTTTTTCATGTGTTTTTTTCCATTGACACAACTATACAGTAAAATTAATTTCTAAAGTGTTAATGCACACATTACCTGTAAGATCTGGCCCAAAGTTGATACTGTTGAGTTGCTCAGTAGTTTGGTGAAGCTTATTTCATTGGACTCTTGAATTAATAAACCGCAGCTCTGTCCTATAGCTCAGTTCAGTGACTTTTCTGTCGATAGTTGTGTTTCACTTTGGGTAAAAAGACGTCCACAGAGACAACATGTTGAACTGTTCTCAGTTAAACTGATGTTTTTTGGTTCACTGCTGGATCAATCTGCATGTTTTAATCTACACCAATGTAATTATCATTTCAAGCCTTTTCAATAATCATCTCAGTTTAGTGAGTTGACCCAAAGAGTACATCCCTGTCAGTCATTCCCAAAAGAATTGTAATACGAAATAATAGGATTTAAACAGACAATATTATCAACACATTCTCTTTGATTCTTTTAAAATTATTTTGCAAGAGAAGTTAAAGAGGAAACAGAAAAGCGCCTGAGTACAGTGTACTCCCCTGATGTCATCTCTCCATAGCCCGTAAAGTAAAATGGGCAGCAGTGTACGATAAAGAAAAATGACCTCTCCCAGTCTTATCATTACAACAGACACTGATGTATGAGACTTGTTTGAGAAGCTACAGAGCCACATGATTATTGTATCTAAACAGAATCTTGTACTCACTTGATAAAGCCTTGTCACCAGTCCTACTGCTTTAAGAAATGCTCTACATCTGTTTAGTATTTTGTGTATATCACAAGGTGAAAATCTTTTATATCAGAATGCACCTTTCAAAGACAATATTTACAAAAACAATTTAGAATTTTATCTATTGACCAATTAAATATATCAAATTTTACTCATGCATTTGAGAGTAAGTTATTTATATTTCTCACTTTGGAGTAGAAGCGATTCTTGATTTCATGGCTACTTCGTTGCATTACCATGTCGTTACAGTAGCCCAGAGAAGATGCTTAATTGCACTATTTTTGAGTTCAAATGATGAGTAAAGGATAAAAGATGTCTTACGTCTGAGGGCTAGAATATTTTTAAAAAATCACTTATCAACACCATTGATACCTTCCCACTAGATATTGCAAAATTCTACACTATGTACTGCTTAAAAAACAAAGTTGTATTATGTCTCAAATACTAGGCAAAGAAATAGTGTTTGTCCTCAATTAATGGCTTATATTTAGAGCAATTACACAAAGAAGTGTTGTGTGTTTTTAATTACATAGTAAGCGTTAACAATAGAAAAAAATACAGAAAAGAATTTATGCACAAGTGTTTGAAAAAGAAAACCCCTCAAATTAAACCAATGATTTTGTAGAATTTCTTCCAGTAGTTCAGAGGCAGTTTGTCCTAAACTCCTTGTGCACTTTGGTACGCAGAGAAGCACAATCTGCATTACAATATGTTGTCTTTGTGGTGTCAAATCCTGTCCAAATTAATTGGACTGTTATGCTCTCACTGTCACAGGAGTTGAAATTTGGGCACAGGGGAGAGCAGACTGCCACCTCACAGCTCAGTGACTCCACAATTTACAGGAAAATAGCTGACTAAAATAAAATGTCTCCTTTAAAAGACCTTGAATAATTTAAGTATTCAAATTGTGCTACTTTTCTCCCTGCGTTGCCCCAATGTACAAACATGAAATTTTCATTAGGTGGATTACAGTCGCACTCGGTGATCTTTTCATTTATTTATTCCAGTGAGTTTTGTACAGGTTCCACTACAACAATGCAGTCTTAGGATTTAATTGTTTCCTTGCGTGTTACCCTCTGTTACCCTCTGTTACACTTAGGTTTAAAACCATCTCGATATCTTTTTGACTGAAATGTATGTTCTCTTGTGTCGATCAGGTCTGGTGACGTCCCTGTCTGAGGGCTGGTACAGCCTTCTCCTGGACCTGCAGAACCGTCTCAACAAGGTCA